CAACGTTTAAAGATCCCAATGGTGAGAACGTATCTTACCCATTAACCTACAATACCAAAGGGGTGGACCCTGAGAAAATTGCTATAAAGGGTAAGGTTGATCGTGGTTGACGAAATGAAACATGTTGATTTATTCAATGCTTGTGCTATATAGCTCAGCAAGCTGATCATGCCAATGGCCCAAGAACTCGTCGACTTGAATTCCGTATCCATGAGAGCCACTATTACGACTGTCATCGTGCACACAGCCAACGTATCCGCCCTTACAAACCTGATGATGATACCATCGATCGACGTAACATCCTGCGACCTTCGAAGAAACAAGGCTGTAAAGCTCGTTTGCACGTGCGTTTCTATCTTGAGACACCTGATATTGCATTCGTCAAGAAGAAAAAGGATCATGATACGCATACACCAGGGTCCCTGAAGAAATCGAGCACCTTCCAACAACACCACGCATGAAGGAATACATCCTTGGGATGTTGGAAAATGGCCATGGAGTCACAAGGCGCCAAATTCGTATGAAGCTCAACAGAGACATGTTGACTTTGCCCATTCAACACGTTGATGCTCAAGTCCGCACAGAGGCCATAGCCCATATATACCGAACATGGCACCATGCTCGTACACAAAAGGATAAGGATGATGATACTGCTGTTGGTCGCTGGCTAGATGAACTTGAGGCACGTCAATACACAGTATGGCGTATTGCCAATGATGATACAGTTCGCTATGCCTTTGGTTTTTGTTCCACATGGCAACAAAATGAGCTAACCAAAAGCGGCAACTGGTCAATGGATGCTACTCATAACATGGGACCAGATGCAAATGCATTGTTGTATACAATCATCGTGCGCCATCCTTTGGCTGATCGTGGTATCCCTGTGGCGTATTTGTTCACCAACGACAAGTCGGCATATCCTGTTACCGAATGGCTCGAAAACATTGCTGCGTTAGGTGGATCGCCAAAGATTATTACCGTCGATTGTGACCTTGGCGAAGTGAAGGCCATTCAAACTGTGTTGGGCGACAATTGCCATATTCAATATTGTACTTGGCATGTATAACGTGCATGGGTGAACCAGCTGGTGGAGAAGGCAGTTGAATGGGGTCGAGCACAAAACAAGATGGAGCGAAAGTATATCGAAATGCAGAAGATGCGAGATGAAATGAAGGCTTTGATGTGGGAGCAAGATCGCGATGAGTTCTGTAAGAAGTGGAATGCGTTCAAGAAAACGTGGTCAATGCATCAGTCAGCATTTGTCGATGATTTCGAGAAGCAATGGATGGCTGAGGATAAATATCCAAGATGGGCAAGATGTTATCATCCAGCTGTATATACCAACATGTTGACAAACAATTACGTGGAGTCTTGGCACAATCAGCTGAAAACCGTTTACCTAGCTCGCAAGTACCCACGACGTGTTGATTTTCTCATCTATACGCTTGTCGAAGAGGTTGAGCTTGACATGATCTCGGAGGTGAAACGACGCGCAGCACGCAATGGCCAACTCACGAATATACAGCGTCACATGCTACCGAAGAAGAAACAGGCAGATGAGATGGCGGATGATGTATCCGATGTTGCGCTTAGTCGTATGATCAGACCAAATAGGAGTATTCAAAACACGTTTACAGTTGAAAGCTTTAAGCTTGACGGTGTGCGTTATATGGTAATTTATTTGATGGATCATATTTATTTGACATCATCTATCACGCATCATCTTTACTAATGATTCTATGGTAGGTAACTGTGCACTTTGATGAAAATTCAGATGCCAAAACCATCATGTCCTGCTCCTGCCCTGCATACACCTTCGACTATTTGCCATGCAAGCACATGTTCCTTCTTGCTCGTTGGGATACTGCATATACTGTAAATGGTGACTATAGGCCAACACGTCTCATTATCGATCCAAATACAAGCACTTCCCAATCCTTACCATTGCCTGGTTCCTCGCCCAATCCTAGCAATGTGTCATCCTCCGCTTCCTCTTCGGATCCATCATCTTCAGCTCCTGCACCTACTGGAAGGGATGCTCCTCTGGGTAATCCTCGTGATGCGATGAAGGCTGTAATCAACAAATTTAAACGCACCTTCGAGCAATCAGCTTTCTCGGATCATCGTCTACTTGCAATCGTCAGCAAACTTGAAGGTCTCCATTCTGAATTACAACAAGCCATCGTCTTACCTCCTAACGCTAGACTCCAAACCCAACATCCTAAAAAGAAAACTCGTACTAGAAAATAATTCACTGTGTTATTCATCTTTGCCAGACGTAGATCTGATCCTCTACCATCACTTACTATAGCACTACACCAAGTCACCCTTGGTGGCGCGATATGGTTTGGCTGCTGTCAGCTGTATATAGATCGAAGCGGTACCACTTGTTGCTAGGCGTAAATAAAGCTGCTAGTGAATAAGGTGTTGTTGCTTATATAAAAGAAGGCTGCAAGCCACGTTTGTACACAACCAACAAGGCGATTCAAGAAGAGGATCTGCTGACGAAGCTAATCTCGGCTACTGCAATTGACTCTGAAACGAATGGGCGTGGTAGAAAAGTGCAAGAGGGTGAGTGGTGTCGAAAACGAGGTGTGCTGAAATAAAGAAAGGCAGCTGTCAAAGCCCCATGTACTTGCCATTGTCTTGAATCGTAACAAAGTAACTCCAATGCTGGCTTGGCATGACGAGAAGAAGTAGATGAATTGCACACAGATTGTAGATGTGCTGAACTCGGTCGAGATGTGCAAGTTGTAAAGAGCAATGGGGAACAGAAAGTAAGCTGGCGGGGGCGAAAAGGCTGAGAATCTCAAAGTTAAAAATCGAGGGGATTTAACGGGGTTGCGGCATAGCATGACAAGGTGCTATGGCAGGGTTATGTGGAAGTCGACTAGCACAACTAGCGAGTGAGTTGGATGTGACAGTATAGCAGGGCGAGCGCGTTTCGTTTTGCATATCAGTTTGTTGCACGATTGACAACAAGACATACACGATCTACCATCATCATGGGAAATACGACATAGTACTACACATGTAGAATTCACGCATTTGGATGTTGGATGGCAATAAATAGTTCAGAGGTGATGCACGATGGAAAGGATTGCTACCAACTTATGATACATGATGGCATACGGTAATACAGTAGATTGCAGTGAAAGTTGAACATGAAAAGAGAATTTTGGTG